ATCGGCCTACCCATGCCTCAATCCCGACGGCGACGGGCACGGCGACTTGGACGACCCGACAGCAATCACATCACCAAGACCAGCAGCATCAGCAACACCAGCTCTACCACACCCAATACAAGCCAATCGCAAGTAAACAAGATCGCAGCCACCGCCATCGCCCCCATCCCCACCATGACTCTTGCCCCTCGTCATTTACTGCCCAGCCTCCTCCACCTTCACAAGCCCTCCCCCGATAAAGTACTCGGCCACCATCCGCCGCCGCTCTCTCACCTCGCTCAGCACGCCAAGGATCGAATTCCACGACTTGCCTTCCCCCACATGCATCCGCAGCACCTCCTCCCTGCTCGGCATCCGGATCGCCTCCAGGAACTTGCGCCGCTTCCACTCGCGGTACTCGCCAGACGACATCCCACTGCTGGATTCCGAGCTTGAACCGCTGCTCCCCGCATCGCTCACGACCCCAATCACACACGACGATTCCCCGTCATCGCCGCTGTCCGACACCATCGGCAGCACCTTCCTCCGTCGCCGCGCTCGCTTCCGCGCAATCCCCTTCACTACGCCCACCACCTCGTCCACGCTCCACCAGCCAGCTCCAATCACAGCCTTGCTGCCGGCGTCAAACACCACCCACCGCTGGACTACTCGGCGCAGCAAATCCTCCACCACCCCGGCCTCCACGTCCACCGCAAGCGCAAGCCCAGGCCGCAGCACGCACGCCACACGCGCCATCTCCTCACGTGTCGGCTTCCACGCCACCCCAGCCCCGACATCTTGCGCCGCCAGCCTTGGCTTCGCTCGCTGCTCCTGGATCAGCAATATACCCACTGCGCACCAGCAAGCCCCGTTGGGACGCACATCCCTTGCGAATACCGCCTCACACTACTCGCCACAATTCGCGAGCGACATCTCTCTTCACTGCAATCGGATCAACTCGCGGATCTTCCAGCAGGTGCCGGGCTGCCCCGCACTACGTCTCTCGTCGGATGGCGCTATTGTAGAGAGCTGCCGGACCAACACCGGGATGCCTAAGGAGCACGCCCGAACGTCGACGACGTATTCCCACGAGCACCACCTCGCCCACAGCCGTCAGCTCGCTGCCATCCATACAGACATGTTTCGCTTGGACGACCTGGGTCAGCGCCATGGGAAGCAGAGCGCTTGTGTGAGTAGCTCATGGCTGCGGACGCCTGCCTGGCTATCATGCAACCTGCTGATCGATCGACTCGGTTGTCGGCAGGCAGAAGCTTCACCACATCGATGTACCTTCCAAAGCATGCACTGCCTGCGGCAAGGCGAGGTGGCCGCGGTGGCTGAGAGTATGTGCTGTTGCCTGTGCGCCTCATACTTATTCACTGTCCAAACGGCGAGGAGGAGCCTGACGACCTCGATGTGATTGTTGCGCGAGGCGGTGACGATCTCAGCGTGGCCTTTCGCCGCAGCGCAGGCGCGTACAGCAGAGAATGGCGATTCTTTCTCGCTCCACATGTGCAAAGGTCCCAGACTGGCGCTCATCGCGGCTTCGAGCCCGCAACAGCAGCTCCACTGGATATCGAGCGCGAGACAAGGTCGCCAATGCTGTAGACGGCGGCGAGGGCGGCCAGCCCATGTCATACCGTGTCTCTCAACGGCGCCAGCGACCGGCACATGGGGCACAGCAGCTCCATCGCCATCTCCGTCGCCCTCCCTGGCAGCGAGCCGGAGAATGAGCGTAATCCAGTTTCGTCACTCGGGCTACGCGCGCTGAACACGAAACAACGCGGCCAGCTATGAGAGCCATGGGATGAGGCTGACGATGGATTGAGGCCAGAACTTCAGTCTTGTTCAAGCCCAGCGCCGCTGCTCCCCAACGCCTATTCCCGAACGGAATCCAGGTACTCGGCCCTGGTGTACCCGTGTGCGTGCAGCATCAAGAGAGCTGCCCAGGCATGAGCAAAGTCAGTCATGCGAGACAGCCGCTTCTAGTTGTTGCTCGTCACAGGCCTCGTGTCGCCCCGCATCATTGTCACCACCAACACGCCCCTGTGGGATACAGCAACACCATACAAACTCCGCCCGCATACCTGCTCATACATACCCTCACACGCCCTCCTCGTCACCCCACCCCACCCAAGCCACACCATGCGCAACGAGTGTTCGCTTGGCGCGGCCACCACGGCGTCGGCACGTACGAGCTACGATTCACATGAAACAGTCAACGATTATTAGAGATCTCTATTGATTGGGTAAACTTTTTCGCCTTTCCCGGACCGGGCAGTGAGCCGGCCTTGCAAGCAACGCACAACTGCAACTGCCCGTACACCTGCGCTCTCCAACAACAACGGCATTCCTCTCCTCTCGCGCCACCCAACAACAACCTCCACACCATGAGCCACGTCCTCGCCTCTTTTGTGGCGGCGTGTGTTCTCCTCCCGCTCCTCGCCACCGCCTTTACCACCCCCACCTCCGCCCTCTCCCCTGGTGTTTGCGATGTACGCCACTCCTCATGCCGCCCCCCCCTCCCCCTCCTCCCATCCCCAGCCCGCACTCACCCCACCCACTCCCCTACAATCTCAGCACCAAGTGGGGTATGCCGACTTCTCCCCGGATACCCATACTCTAATCTGGCTCGGCACTTCTCCGCGTGCAATGGTCTCAGGAAACCTCGACGGCGACGGTGTGCCTGAGCTCGTCGCCGCCGTCCACACCAGCCATATCTCAGCGACTCGAGTCATTGTCTCGGTCGTTCCGAGCTCTGTTGCTGCCATCGCCGATGGCTCGTTTCCGCGACCAGGTTATGCGCCTGTTGCGGAGCCTGCTGCCTCGCCGCTGCTTTCCTTCTCAGGCTTCTACACCTCGATGCTCCCGCCGTCAACGCCCGCCATGGCCTCTAGTACGCTTGCCGTCGCTGACGTCAACGCCGACGGACAGGGCGATCTAGTGTATGCTGCAGCAAGCGGCTCTGCAGGCGGTGCGGTTGTCGTCTTGGAGCAGGCTACGTCATCGCCATACGCGTCGCACCTGGCAACGCTTCCGCTACCCGAGGAGATGCGCTCTCTCCTGCTCAACCACGGGCTTCGCGTTCCTATGGCTGTTGCCGACGTCGATGGCGACGGTTCACAAGACATCGTCTACTCCTCGGCCTACGACACGCCGTATACCGTGGTCCATGACCCTGACAGCTACATCTTTAACGATGTGCTCCTCGCCACTAACCCATCCGGCACCGGTGCCTTCCTCGCGCCGATCCGCCTCGCCTCCGTCACCAACGGCCGTGGCATGGAGGCCCTTGCTCTAGCCGACATGGACGCCGACGGTGACGTGGATGTCTTGTTTACTGACACTGGTGGTGGCAGTGTCTGTGTTCTCTACGCCCTTGCCCCGGGCGTCTTCAACGAGACATCCTCTCCGCCCGTCTGCACTGCCGTCGAGACAAACGTCGACTACATGCATGTTTTCGACTTTGACGCTGACGGTGACTTGGACATCCTCGCCATGGACTCTGACAAAAGCATCTGGCTCATTCCCAACGCCGCGGGGGCTGGCTCTCCGTTTGCCTACACTTCGTTGACACGCTCGGCTCCGTTCCCCACATCCGCCGCCTACTCGTCACCGATTGTTTTTGATCCAGACAATGATGGTGATCTGGATATCCTCTATCCAAAGCCCGTAGACGGCTTTGTCTATCAACGCTGTGATGGTCTCGGTTCATACACTGAACTCATCATCGCCCACGACCGTGAGCTTGTCTCTACTACGTACGGTGACCTCAACGGTGACTCCTTCCTTGACGTTTGTGCAATTGACAACGTGAACAGACTGGTGTGCATCCTGTACAACTCGGGTGCCGCCACCTTTGATGCTCCCATTGTGGCATCGGGCTCTTACCTATGGACCCCTTTGTACTCTACTATTGTTCTTACCGACCTCAACGCCGACGGTCGAGACGACTTGGCCATCATGTCTTTCGACGACAACGCCATGAATAGTCTGTGGATTGAGTTCAACGACGGTTCCGCCGTGCCCTTTGATGGTCGACCCGACGACATTCTTCTCGCTGGTGTCTCGGCCACCTCACGCTCCGTCTCTACCCGCAGCTCGCCCCCACCACGCATCGACGCTAACAACGACGGCATACTTGACTTTGCTGTCGTCCGGTATGACCGGTCCTCATTTGATGTTGTCTCGTACGTCCCCAGCGGCAAGACTACTTTTGCGCTCTCCTCAGTCCACGCCCCGTACGCAAGCTACCAGTCAGTCTGGCTGCGTGACGTTGATGGAGACGGCGATGTTGACATTCTTCTCTTCTCGTCGCCGTCCGTCGGCCAGTTCTCGCTCCTTCGCTCGCGCTTTGTCGATGACGCCTTGTCCGCCGGCTCGACGCTAACTACCGATGCCTCCACCGTCACCTTTGGCTCGCTTCCTGCCCACTCGGACAGCAGTGTGCCATGGATGGGTCCCGGCCCAACGTCGGGCACTGGCCTCGACTCGGGCTTCCTTGTCGGCGCGCAAGACTTTTTGGCCGTCCCACCCTCAGGATCCATCTACCACGTGACTGTTGCCGACTGGCTCGATCCTGCCGCCTCCGCTGCTGTTACCACCGTACATACCCGCTTTTTGCCGGCTGCCGGTACCACCCGTCCGTCGGCTGTCGCGTTCGATGCCAACAACGATGGCTTGCCAGACGTTGTTGCTATCTACACCTACCCCACGCCCGAGTTGTACCTCATTCTTGGCCCGACGTACAGCTCGCCGACCCAGATCCCGACCGCGGGCCTGGCCTCACCGCCGTATGTTCCTTTCGTCTTTGATGCTGATGACAACGGCGACCTCGACATTGTCCTCACAGGCAGTGCGGCCACCTATATTTTCCCGTCATTCGGCGACGCCACCTTTGGTGCACCTCGTCACGTTACAACCAGCAGCGGGTCCGCCCTCGACATCGCTCTCTTCCGCATGCCCGACTACATGGAGCCCGCCAGTTCGGCCTGGATTGTTCCGTCGAGTCGCGGGCTGGGCCTCGTCACTCAGCCCCGAGTCGATGTCACCCGCCCACTCTCCTCCTCCGTCGGCACTGGCTCGCCGAAATGCGAAGGTGTCCTAGGCACTCTTGTAGGAGACTTTGACAACGATGGCCGCCCCGATCGTGCATGCATTCACTTGACCAGTGGACTCCTCATGCACCGCGGCTCGCACCTCGACCTCCGTCTCGCAGGCACGAGCGCAGGTGCCCTCGCCTTTGGCTCCGTCATTCCCCCGCCTGACTCGGTCATGCCCATTGTTGTCGATGTTGACGGCTCGGGCATCCCCGACATCGTCTACAGCTCAGCCGGAGGCATCCACGTTATTGTCTCGTCCAACAACCCCGCGGCCCCGTTCACTCTCCCTCCGATCACCGTTCCGGGCTCAGCCATGCTCGGCGCTAGCAATCGGATCGCCATGCGCCTCACCTCGTCACCGCTGCCGTCCGTCATCGGCTTTACCAACACGGCCATGTACGCCATGGACCCAACTGGTGACCCGGCTGCACCGCTGAGTGCCCCGCGGCTACTGGCAAGCTCCACTGTTAGCCGTGTCTACTTCCCCCATGCTGTTGATGTCGACAACGACGGCCACCTCGACATCCTCTTTGCGACAAGCAAGAGCGTTGCGTTCTATCGCGCCAACTTTTCTCTTCCGAACAACTTTGAGGACTCTGTCTCCCTCGTTACTTTTGCCAACAACATCCAGCGCGCCCTCGCCGCAGACCTCGACAACGATGGCTGCATCGACCTTGTTGTCGACCTCATCATCGGTGACTATGTCGGCACACGCTACCTCTACGGTCCTTACACCGCGTGGGCAACCGCCGATCAGCATATTGTCTCGTTCTACCATCCCAACGCCACCCACCTTCCCTATTCCGCCGGCGGCGGTGCTAACATGGCCTACTATGACTACTTTAGCCTTCTCGACTACAACCGCGACGGCTACATGGACATTGGCAAGTTTCCGATTTCGAGCCACACACTGCCTGGCGCCATCATCTACAACCGCGGGTCTGGTGCTCCTCCAGACAAGCGCTTTGTCTCGCATACCGACAACTTGATCACAGGGTACACCATCAACACCACGCCCCTCAACATCGCCGTGGACTACAACGGCGATGGCGAGCTGGATCTTGTTACCCGCAACCGACTCCATCTCTCATCGCCGCAGATCGCGCGTCGCGCGCCCGTCACGGTCGTGGTTGATCCTGTTCGCTGCGGCTACACCCTGGCATGCATTGTCGCTTCTGTTGCAGAGACCGGGACATGCCTCGGCGACACTGTCCTGGTTCCCGGCGGAACCTACGCTGGCTGCGGCGTTTCTGGCCCGCTCACCCTCGCGCGCTCGATCACCCTCGCGCCCGTTCCAGGGACAGGGGCCGTTGTCATTGACTGTGCCCACAATTCGTCTCCGTTTGCTGTCGGAGGCCGTTACGGCCTGCATGTCACGGGTGGTGTCACTGTCACTCTTCGTGACATGACCATTGCCAACACCTTTACTCACCCGGCTCGAGCCGGCGGCGCTGCCCTCTCGGTCTCGGCCGCCAAGCTCATCCTCGACTCGGTCACCATCATCAACGCCACCGCCACCGGCGGTGACCTGGTCTCGATTGAGAGTGCCGGTGTCGGATATGGTGCTGGCATCCTTGTTCGCGATGGCGGTGAGCTCGTTGCCACCAACGTGACCGTGACTGGCTGCTCGGCTGCCCTTGTCGGTGGAGCTATCGCCGCCGTCGGCCGCGATACCCGCGTCACAGTCGTCGACTCGATCTTGGCCGGCAACACTGCGCTCATTGGTGGTGGCGCCGTCTTTGTCGAAGTCACCAGCGGCGTTTCGTCACTCTCGCTCCGCGGCTGTGCCGTTTACGACAACATTGCGCCGGGTGATCTCTCCGAGACCGTGCCCATCTCCCACGGTGGCGCTTTGTCCGCTGTTGCTCTTTCAGGCGTTCTGGAACTCGAGCTCTCCGCTGGCACCTCGCTTGTGCGCAACTCGGCACTCTCGTCTGGTGGCGGTCTGTCAGTGCGTGCGACGCAGGCCGCCAGTGGCCGGGTTGTACTCGACGACGTGCGCATCGCCGCAAACTTGGTGGCGGGCAGCGGCGGCGGCGCGCTCTTCTCTGCCGCCGACATCTCGCATCTCGACATTGAGCTTCTTCACAATGTGGTGTTTGAGGACAACGCCGCCGGTGAGTCTGGTGGTGGCGTCGCTTTTGTCACGCTCCCGCCGTTTGGACAACAAGACACGGCCTCGGGCTCCCTCAACATCACCTGGGGCTCGGGCTTGCTCGCGCGCAACACTGCAGTCGAGCATGGCGGCGGCATAGCCGCGCTTGTCACTGCCGCTTTTCTGGTGCCCTCGCCACCGATCGCGCTTGCTGCCCGTGGTACCGTCACCTTTGACGCCAACGTCGCAGGCCGTATGGGCGGCGGCCTGGCGGCCTCGGGTCGCGCCGTGGTCTCCCTGGATGCCCCAGTCTTTACGCGCAACCGGGCCGTCTTTGGCGGCGTTGTCGCCGCTGCGCCGACTGCCAGCTACCTTGTTGGCCCAACTTTGCCGTCGGGCTCGCGATTTGCGGTCTCGGCCGCGTCGATCCCCCCCGAGACCATCACCGCCGCTGCCATCCCCTGTGCCACCCGCGGGCGCGTCCGTCTCAACTCGCCGTCTGGCAGTGGCAACGGTGCTGTCTACGGTGGCGTCGGCTTTGCATGCACCTCCATTCTCGAGCTTGTTGGCCTCGACGCAGCGCTCCTTGATGCATCGCCCACAACTGCGACATCCAAAGTCAGCGCCCCGCCCGCCGGTGGCGGCCTGGTCTTCACTTGCGTCCCGGCCTCTCTCCTCACCGCCGACGGCACGTGCGGCTCGCCGCTGCCTGACATTGTCCCGCTCGTGCCGTTCACCTCGTTTGGCTCGGACAGCGAAGCTGGACTCACCGCCGGCACTGTCAACGCATCGCTCGCCTCGCTGCGAGCAACGTATGGCGTCAGTGCGGTGGCCGGTACTGCGCCAGCCCGGTTGGACTGGCTCACACTCCCGCCCGCCACCGTCTCTTCTGGCTTTGCGCCTGGCCCTGGCTCAAGCGACGTTTTGCTCTACGACGCACTCGGTGCGCTCTTGAGCGACAGAAACATCCATCTCGAGCTGCGACTGACGGCCGCCGATGCCGCCGATCGGTTTGCTTTTGTCACCGGCTCGCCGACGCTCGAGCTGGCCAGCAACCCGATCTCGTTTGGCACCGTCGGCATTGCGCTCCGTATCGGCACGCCGCCTGGATCCGAGGTCACCTTTGAAATCGGATTGGTGACGGCCGCCTTTACTTCCAGCTCGCCACAGGCTGCTGCCCTGCGCCTCACGGGAGCCATGTCGCTCGAGGAGTGTCTGCCTGGTGCCGGCGTGCGTGTCGGCGGCGACATCGGTGTCCTCGAGTGCGAGCTCTGCCCAGAGGGCACATTCTCCAACGAGACCTCGCTCGAGCCTTGCCCAACATGCGCCGGTGAGTCGCTGCTGTCAGGTGTAGGTGCCACTCGGTGCGTCGCATGCCCGATTGGCGCACGCCCATCCCGGGCACGCTCGACCCAGACTCACAACTTGGAGTCAACTGCACCTGCCTCCCGTCGTTTTTCTCGCGCAACGGCATCCAAAACGACAACTGCGAAGAGTGCCCCGAGGGCGGCGTCTGCCTCGGAGGCGCTGCGCTTCCTGTCGCCGCGCCAGGCTTTTCCCGTCGCCAGACGTGCCATTTGTCTTTGTGCGGTGCAAGCGCGACACGGCGTGCGTCGGAGGCGCCTTTCCGTGCGCGCCGGGCTACGATGGCTACCTGTGCAACGTCTGCCAGCGCGGGTACTTCTCAGACACATCGGGTGGGTGCTCGCGGTGCTCATCGCGAGCAACTCTGCTGTTTGGCCTCTTTGTCACCATGGTGGTGGCCATGGGCCTGTTCATGCTTGCCGTCGTCCTCGTCGCCATGCACCGCTCCGCCCTTTCGACGGTAGAGACGGTGACCGAGACCGGGCGCCCGCTGCGCCTGGTGCCGGCGACGGCGTCGATGGCGGTTGTGGCCATGCAGGTTGTCGGCGTCATTGCCGACACCAACGTCTCGTGGAACTCGTCGGCACACTCGGTCCTGGACGCGTTCAACATCTTCAACGTCGACGTCAATCTGTTCGAGTCCGAGTGTGTGCTCGAGACGTTCTACACCACGTACTCGATGTCGATTCTCTTCCCGATCCTCATTGTTATCTCCATGCTCATTGGCGCCGTCGTCGTCCGCCTCTGCCGCACACTCTTTTTCGTCTGCGGAGCACTGCCGGCGTTTTCCCTCCGCGCAGTGTGCGAGACGGCGGCCTTTACCTTTGGCCCGCTGCTCTACATTCCGCTCTCGCGAGCGACGCTGGTTTACTTTGACTGCACCCGGCTGCCGAACGGGACATGGGTGCTTGACTCCAATCCGGGCATCGAGTGCTTCACCTCGGAGTGGATGCGCTACCTCGGCGGCGCCATCGGCGCCGTCGTCATCTACGTCTTTGGCATGCCGACATACTTTGCGGCCATGCTTTACGCGCACCGCAAGACGCTGCTCGAGGAGACCACCGTTGTCCGCTACGGTCCGCTCTACCGGCTCTACTCGCAGTCGTACTTTTACATGGAGGTAGCCATTCTGGGCCAGCGGCTTGCGCTTGTCCTCCTCGCCACCTTTTTCTCGAATCAGCAGCTCATTCAGCTCTCGGGCATCATCGGCGTGCTCGGCGTCTCGCTCGCCCTCGTCGTCCGCCTCGAGCCATACCTGTACAACATCTACAACCGCACGTTTGTGCGGCTCAACGCCCTCCTTGCCATCCTAGCCCTCGTCGCCATCGGCAGCTACGCCGAGCGCTCGGCCGGAGGCTCGGCCGACACCTTCTTCATCACCGCCGTCATCGGCCTCGTCGCCGCCATTGCCATTGTCGCCGTCGTCTCCTTTGTCATCGAAGTCCGCGGCATCTACCGAGAGCGCAAGGGCTTCTTCTCCAACGTGGATGTCCAGCGCCGCAAGCTCATTGTCCACATTCGCAAGACGCTTCCCGACCTTGACCCCGAGTTCCAGTCGGAAATGGGCCGCGTCCTCGACTACTTCCAGCCACCCGACAGTAGCGCGCCGACGCGCAAGACGAGCGACATCTACGAGGTCGACTGGGACAAGGCCGGTGCGGATGTGGAGCTAGATCTTATTCTGTAGTTGCTGGAGAGGAGCAGAAAGAGAAGCAGAAAGAGATAGAGATGGAGAAAGTGTGTGATCAGGTGCCCACCTAGGCGGGGCTCCGTGCCCGCCAGCTGATGCCGCCCGCCCGCGCGTGCCACTCACTGGCGCTGGCACTGTTACTCGGCGCAGGCATTGACCCTGTCTCGAGCTCCGCTCTCGACCAAAGGCACGAGCTACCACCCGTCTCCCGGTCACCCAAAAACACAGCAATCATGGGCAACACGCTGTCCAAGGTGATGACCACGTCTGTGGAGAACGACCCCATGCGCAACGTGCTCGGCAACTCGCTCGGTGCCCAGGTTATGGCCGGTGCCTCGGTTGTTGCTGCCGTCGGCTTTGTCCTCAAGCTCGCCCAGAAGGCCGCCAAGCGCCAGACGTACGCCCCATGTCCCACCACTACCTCCCATACACAACCCTTCATCCCTCCTCGCACCACCACCACCACCACCACCACCACCACCACCACCATAACCCCCCTCACACACACACACACACACACACGCTGCCCTTGCTCCTCTCGCATGCGGGTTGCCTGCCCTCTCGCTCCCACACACTAACCCATCCTT